CCCATAAATATATTGTATTGGCTCATCCACTCTTGACTCAAACTGGACAGGGCAAATTCTTATTTCAAATATTTATTTAAATATAGCTGGGCACTAGTAGCTCACAGCTATAATCATAGCTACTAGGAGGCTGAGATCTGAGAATCATGGCTCAAAACCTGGGCAGGAAAATCTGTGAGATTCTTATCTTCAATTAACTAAGAACGGGGGAAAAAGTCAGAAGTGGAGCTGTGGCTCAAGTGCCAGAGCACTAGCCTTGAGCACAAAAGCTAAGGGATGGTGCCCTAGATCCTGAGTTCAAACTGTAGGACTAGCAAAATAATATACATATTTACATATATATGTTGTGAATATATGTTAAAATGTTAACACTAGTTACTGCTGTAGAGTGGGATGAGGTGGGTACAAATGAAAACTGAAGTGTCTTTCATTGTATCTACTTGGTTGGCCTTTTAGAAAAGCAAGTGTCTATAACTATTATTATGCTTAAAAATATAATAAGTGGGGATGGGAATGTGATTTAGTGGTAGAGTGCTTTCCTAGCATGCATGAAGCCCTGGGTTCGATTCATCAGTACCACATAAACTGAAAAAGCCAGAAGTGGCACTGTGGCTCAAGTGGTAGAGTGCTAGACTTGAGCAAAAGAAGCTCAGGGACCATGCCCTGAGTTCAAGCCCTAGGACTGGCAAATACACACACACACACACACACACACACACAGAGATAGATATATGTGCATGTGTGTGTGTGTGTGTGCGCGCGTGCGCGTGCACGCATGCCAGCATTAGGACTTGAACTCAGGGCTTGGTCCCTGAGCTTCTTTTGCTCAAGGCTAGCATTTTTGCTCGAGGCTTAGTGCTCTACCACGTGAGTCACATTTCCACTTCCAGACTTTTAGTGGTTAATTGGAAATAAGAGGCTTATGGGCTTTCCTGCCTGGGCTGGTTTCAAACCTTGACCGTTGACTACTGTGATCTGGAGCTCATCCCAGCACCCCACCAGACCTTAGGCAAGTGAGCTGACCCCATTAGGCCTTCATTTACTCCTCTCAACACATAGAGGTTGGGTAATTTCAAGATCATTTCCAGTTATACGAATTGGTAAGTATAAAATTTTAAGAGAAAATATGATGAAAATTTTGTCTCAATAAATGATAGTCTTTAAACAAAATACTGAAATCACAAATTATGTTTCAAAGACTTGGGGGCTTACGTGGGATTCTATAAAAATGTATGTGATGGTGCCTGGTTCAAAGTAGGCACTCAAATTCATTTTGTTTCCATTTCTGTCCTGTTCTAATAGACAACAAAACAAATCCTAATCTTGGTAAATATCATGTTACTGAACTAGGTACAATCTTGTGCATATATAAAACTTGCATTTAAGACAAAAACCTCAAGATTATAAAATCTTAACATTAGGAAGGGCTTGTTGCCATCTACAATAACCTTTCCCATGGTGAAGAATCGATATATGTTCTCCTTGATTACTTCGTGTGTTTCTGATCTCACTCCTACCATAGGTAGGAGGCTTAAGAGAGCCTATTCTCAGAGCAAGATGGAAATAGAAGAGACACCCCTCCCTTATCGTTCTAGATCTACCAAGGGGAACAACAGTCTTTTTTCTTTCTTTTTTCCATAGAGCAAGAGTGACCTAATTTCACCAAATCTCTCTTCTGATCTATATATTTCCATTTTCTCCAAACATCCCTTATAAGCTTCCAGGAACAGTGAATCTATGTTCCTCTTAAATCCCATCTTGGAACTGGACTCTGTCTTTGAAGGGTGGTCTGATGGGACAGAGTCTATGGAAGCATGTGCAATTTGGTTCTGGTTCCATACTCTTGCTAATGCTGCAGGTAATTTAGTCAGATAATATTGAGTGTCTATGGGATAAACTCCTGAGTTTCTTCTTAATATGAGCCACTGACAAGCCAAAGCTCTCCCTTTTTAAAAAAAAAAATTAGAATACTGAGCTTCACATTTATTTTTGTTAACTTTCTCCGTGATGGTTTCAGCCCTTCCTGTTCCAACCTGTCGAGATCACTCCGAATGTTGATACTGACATCCATCAGATTAGCAATCCCTCCCAGCTTTCTGTCATCTGCAAATGTGATCAGCATGCTCCTGTGCCTTCATCCAAGTTTTTGATGAAAAACTCACTGTATTTTTTAAAAAGTCTTTTAATTTAGTTGATTTGGGTCCAACTTCTGGATAATTTGGAAAAGCTATCTGAAAGCAGGAAAACCCAAGCTATGAGGTCCAACCTGATTCCAAAAACAATGCAATTAAAATAAATATGCTGTGCAAAATGGAGCTAGGCCCCAAAGGTAGTATCAGTGTGACCCAGACTGTGACATGGTCAATCCACTATTTTGGACAAAGCTAACAATTAAATTGGATAAATGTTTGTTGATGAGGAGGATGACACTAGACTAACAGACTGAATGGTGCAGAGGCAAACAAACATACTGGATTGATTTTTCAGTGTGGAGACAGTTCCCAGCTGGGACAACTCAAAGTGCTGAGAGGCTCTGCCATTGAATGTGTAATTAAGGCAGAAAACGGATAATTGGATAATTTGGGAACAAGGTATTTCTTTTGGAGTCTTCTCTGGATTGACCATCAACAATGATGTTAAATACTCTCAACAATGTCAGATTGTGTGCCTGACCCTAGCTAAGGCACAGTCTACTAGCTTCATCAATGCTATTAGATTGTATAGACAGGGGCTAGGGTACTTCGGGGAGCAGAGTTTTCATTCTCAAAAGTCTTTGAGAATTCTAGCACCCATTTTTACTGAAACAAGTGAGGTGATGGAGCTTTGGTTATTAGGGAGCACAGGTTTTGGGTATAATGTCTCAGACACATGATTGTATTCAGGTGTGAGTTAGCTATATGATCTTGGGCAAGTTGACTCCTTAGCTTTGCCTAGTGTTAATTTCTTTTGTCAGTACAGTGGAAAACGTAACGCTTACCTTCATGGTGTAACTGCTGCTCAGTACCTGATGTGTGTGATAGTCATGCTCATTAACACATTCAACAACTGGCAGAGTAAGGAAGTCTGATAAAGATAACTACCAGCTGGGTGCTTGTGATTCATGCCTGTAATCCTAGCAGCTTGGGAGGCTGAGATCTAAGGATCCTAATTCCAAGCCACTCTCAGAAGACAAATCTGAAAGGTTGAGGACTCTTGTTTTAGCCAGCAAAAAGTCAGAAGAGGAGCTGTGGATCAAGTAGTACAGCACCAACTTTGAGCAAAAAATACTAAGCAAGAAAGAGCACGAGGCCCTGGGTTTGAGCCCCAGTATTGGCATAAAAGCAAGGAAAAAGATAAGATACAGAACACAGTGTCAACTCATTGACAAATATTAGTATGTTTCATGCTCACAAACAACTCCAGGAAGTAGATATTATTATATTATGACACAGATGTGGAAACTGAGGCATCAAACAGTTTACCCAATTGCTCAAAGTCACCTACTAGTAAGTGGTGGTGTGGGGCTTTTCCACTAGGATTGCAGGTTTCCAAAGCCAACACTCTTCACCACTGCATTATTCTGCTACACTAGTATTTGAGACCTGACTGTAGTCAAGAGATACTACTTGTAATCAGAATAAGAGTCCTCAATCTTTGGTGCTAAGAATCCACTATGCTTCTCATGGAGTCTTGTGATCAGGTGCAGAGAGGAGATTTCACAGCCTATAATGAGGGTGAGTATGAGGACAAGAGGATCACAGCAAGTATATCAATCATTGCTGTCAACACCATACCCTAAAAAGAGGGCACACAGCAAAGATGCACTTATATCAATTGCCACACAGTCAATCAGAAGCTTAAAATGCTGACTAGAGATGGTGAAAACAAAATGTGGTTGTCATTGCCCACTAGTTATTACCTCTGCACTGGTCCCTTTATGTGTGACTATGTTTTCTTGTCTTCCAGTGAGGATAATAGTCCCATCAACCTGTGCTTCTTTAAAGGATGAATGAAACAATGTAGCACACGACATATCACTGCATGGTAATTATGATTTTTACTCCTTCCCTATGCTCTTCAGTTATATTGTTTTAGTAGAAATTTGCTTCTTGAAATCCCTTTTAAGAAAGGATTAGAATGGTGGCCTTAGAATAACATTTGTACATTTTTCAGAAAATTCTCTTATGGCTCTTTGTGTTTTTCAAGTGTGGCAGGGGGTGGGAATTTGCAGAATTCAAATGGTGATGTTTCACTACATTCTGTATGAAATAATGATGTTGATATGTTTTGGTTGAGTTAAATAACAACACTAGTGATCATTTCTGGTTTTTCCAAATGTGTTCATATTCCTGTGACTGATGTTCAAAATACCCCTCTGGAGTTAAATATTGTAATCATCTCCACTGTAGGGGTGAGAGAGCCAAGAGCCGGAGCCAGGTGACACAGGCAGGGAGCAGCAGAAGCAGTGTTCCACCACAGACCCCTGATGTCAAGGCCAGAGCTTACTCCTCTCCATCAATGGTCTAATCCCTCTGAATAAGCAGCAGGTCCAATCAATGTGGATGCCATTGGCTAAACTGCTTAAGGATAACTTGAGGTCCACTCGAATGGTTTGATCACAATATGAAAATAAAACAAACACACAAAAAACCTAGAAGTCACTTTGTCTAGATTGTGTGTGTGTGTGTATGCGTGCATGTGGGGAGGGGGAGGGGAGAATCTACAGATTATAGTTTACCTGGGCAGATTTTCATTGGCACCTCTACCAAGATTCCTGCAATAATGGGTATGACAGGTGCATCTCTGTCAGGGTCATTTGTTAAGGTATTTAGAGAACCAATAAGGCAAAAGTTATGTGGTATAATGGGTGCACTGAATTGCTAAATGAAATGAGAACTATAAGAAAGGGTATGAAACCTGTCTAGCACAATGTTAGGCACAAAGCTCATCAACTCTCATTGCTATTATCACAAATAGACATTCTGCTCATACATTTGAAAGCAGGACATCATAAAACTTACTCTGGAATAATCAAGGTCTCTGGGTGTGGAGTCTGTTAAAGCTCGCACGAGGGCATTCATCATACAGATAGGAGGAGAAGGCGGAGAGGGCTGAGAAGGTTCCTGCTGTAGTGGGCTCTTTGGTTTGGAAGGCAGCCGACCCCTTCTCCCTTTCAGACTATCTGTACGAACAACTGATGCAGAGAGAGAAAAAGAAAACCATGTTTCAAGATTATGTTTTGAATAGGCATAAATCACACCAAGGAACCTAAACACAGTTGGGCAATTAATGAGATCAATCGTTTGAAAGTGGTCATAAGTTTGGAGTAATACTTAATGAAAATCTAATGTGAATTGAAACTGCATACTTACATTTGGTAAGGAATTCAATAGAAGCAAGAGGCATTGCACACAGGCTTTCTACTGATTTTGAGAAATTAGAATAAGTAGTCTTCAATTATATTTAAATGTAAATATGAAGCATAAAATGTAAACATATAAAAATCTTGGAAAGAAAAAAAACTGAGAAAATGTGATGCCACGATGTAAATATTAGCAGTTGTTAGTGATATCTGAGAACATACAAAGCAAACTGTTAAAAGCAGTACATCCATACCTTCTTTAACCATCCCAACACTGAGACACTTCTGAAATCGACAATACTGACATCGGTTTCGACGTCTCTTGTCTACTGGGCAGTTTTTATTTGCCAGGCAAACATATTTTGCATTTTTCTGCACCGTTCTCTGAGAAAAGACAATACAGAGATAGTCAACTACTAGTTTCTGGAAAGAGGTAAGACCTGACAAGATGTATTTTAATTACAATGTGAAAAGCGACAGTGCAATTCGTATAATTAGATAAATTTAATTTCCTAACACGCTAGCCTGCAGGAAAAACAATTTTATTAGTGTTAGCTGCTGACAATGAAAATCATCTTGGATTGTTCTGAGGCAAGTCTCATGAGACACCCAACTCTGAATGATAAAATCATATCTGAAATTACCAGGTCAACATATCATACCTTGGAGGATTAGATTATCTCCACTTTTAATATCCCTTTGGGAACAATTTTCTACTTGTTTCACTCCCCTGATTATTGCTGACCTTATTAAAATAAAATCAGAATTATCTGAGATGTACTTCTCATGCTATCACTATTGTAAGTCAAATATCGCAGTAGCTGGCTTTGTTACCCAATAGAGATGAAATCATAAAAAAAGAATCAGGATTTATCATGCTTAAACATGTAAAGAATAATATTCCAATTCAAAAGGAAATTTACTTCATTGACCTATGTAGTTTATTTAATCTTTAAAGCATAAATATGGAAATCTAGCCACTTTTGATCTTTGAAAACAGAATCTTAAAACTGGACACTAAAAATCACTATCATAGCTAAGGAAGAAAAACCTCAAAGGCAAATAAGAACAGAAAAAAAAGAAATATGAAAGTCATATACTTTCAGTGAATATTCCCATTAATAGGTTGTTTAATAAATGACTATTGATGCAAAACCAATCAAGTCATATTGTAAAAGACATATAAACTTGGGCTTGGATATAAAAATAACCCCATATTTTTCAGAATCACATAGGATTTGGAAGTGACACATGGAAGGATAATTAAACATATTTTATGCTCCAAATGTAAAAGAATACTTGCTTTTTAATTGAAAACATTTGTGCAAGTGGATGCATTTTTATTGCTCAAATTTACCTGGATCTATACAACCCCATATAGAAAGAAAGTTAGAATTTATTTGGGAAATCTGGGCTACATAAAAGGGGGGAAAAACAAAAACAAAACAACAACAACAACAAAAAAAGGTAGGTAATTTGGACTTTGTGTCCAAAATTCTGGGTTTACTTTGAACCCTTTATTTCCCATCATCCTTATTCCCTTGTTTCAATCTTGACAGTATCCTCTTGTAACTGCATTTTAGGATGTAGTTTCTGGATTGCTTATGTAAAATGTAATATATGTGTCAAATCTCAGTCATGTCTTCCCAGCCTAAAATGCAAAATTTCAAGACATACAGACTTCAGGTTTCCAGCATTTAAGTTCTCAGCAGCCTGTAAGGATAGGAAGTTGTTTTTCCTGAATGAAGCCCTCTTTCATTGAACATGCAGTCATTTCTAACACTCTATTCCTTGCCATTATCTTCAAGGCGATATACCAATTTAAATGCTGTTGGCATTTTGTTTCAGGTATACATTTTCCCAATAACCTGAAGCCTTCCCCACATTTGTGTGTGCCTGCACAGTTTAAGGACAGGGAGAGATCGTTACGGTTCAATCACTGAATTCCCATCATTAACTGCACTTCATGTCACATTTTTAAAGAATTCAATTTAATGGTAGAAAGCCACTGGGTAAAACCTGCTCCCATTCCCTTAATTAACAGATCTGTGGGGTAGGTTCTTCTCTTCCTACCCCCTCCATTTCAAGTATAGATTTCTTTCCAAGGGATGACTGAAGCAAAAGGAAAAGCTGCTGGGGAAATATTTCATGAATATTTCTAGGTTTGGAATATGTTTCCACCATATTTTTGGTGAACCCTTAATTATTTGAGGGATGGTTAATTACAGTTCTCCTAGCTTTGTGTCTTTCTTTTCTTCCTTTCTGCTGCCTGTTTTACTGCCCTTAAGCATTTCCACTGGAATGCTGTAACATCCACCTGCTAAACCAATGTAGTTACTTGAAAGTAACTAAAAGAGCACAAATAGTTAAAACAGAAAAAAAGGCCAACATTCAGGTTCAATGCAACCCAAGATTTTGCATTGAAAACATCATAATCTGACATACCTGTAGGGCACTTAATGTGCTGCAAAATCATCCAGAAACTGTTTTCCCATTTAAATAGAAAATTCAATTAACATAAAAAATGACTGTTGCAATTGCTTTAAGGAGAGGGAGGAGGTTCGGGAGAAGAGGTGGGAACAGGGAGGATGACTGAGATACACTACTTACATGAGTGGAAATGTCACAATAAAACTCCCTGTGTACAACTAAAGTGTGATGATATAAAATGAATTAATTTAAAAAATTCACTGTCGTTTGTTGGTGTGTATACCTACCCACAACATTAATTTTACAAACACTATATAGTTTTCATTCTACAATGTACTGTTCATGGTCTCTAAAAGATTATAAAGTGCTTGTGTGTGTGTGTGTGTGTGTGTGTGTGTGTGTGTGTGTGTGTGTGTGTACACACTGAGAGGAAAACTGAGGCCTTAGTAAGAAGTATCATGCCTAATCTCATGTTATTGGAAAGGGACAGGGCTCTCATAGAGACTCTTGGTCTATCTGATCCTAGTTACCATCAGTATCTTGTTTCCTTGTATGACTTGTGGAGTCTGCAAATGCCTGAAACAATGAAGGGGCAGTAGGTTGGGGTGAAGAAGGTGGTACAGAAATGCCTAAAGCAGTCTGAGAATGAATGACAAAAGGCAGAACAGCAAGAAAAGGAGACAGCTGCCCAATCCTGACCCTCAAAGTGGTGGTGAGAGCACTGAACACTAGAGTCAAGCCAGTTGGACCCATTACACTAACTGTTAAACTGGGCAAGCATAAGCTTGCCCTGGGTCTGAGCACCCTAAGGCTCCACTTCCTCATGTGTATGGGGAGGATGAAGACCTTCCCAGTGTGAGTTTCTCCTGTGGGTCTATGAGACCAAAGGAGAATTAGTCCTTTCAAACCAATGCTGAAATCTGGCAATACCTGTAGCTCAGAGGTGTGGGAAGGTTGTCAGAGAATAGAGTGGCTTGGTGAGGCTCCAACATCTATTTTCTACAGAAGAAATTGCCCCAGACTGCATCGAGCCAGGTAGTTGCCTGAATCTCTTTCTGCAGAACTATGAAAAGCATGTGCACTGGGTGGGTGCACACAAACATGAGCAGCCTCTTGCCTCTAAGTGTTCCTCCTTGGCAGTCTAAATCACCCTGCTTTGGCTCAGACCCTCCACTTCATCTATGAAGCAAGGACCACCACTATCTCTCTACTTGTCAGATACTGTGAATAAAAAAAAGAAAAAGAAAAAAAGCTGGTGAGTGACCAAAATTCAATCTACTCAATCTCAGGTCTATCTAAGAGTCCCAGCTCTTTCTTACTGGGAGGATTAAGTGAGATCCAGCGATCCCGAGTTTGCTCTGCAGATCCTATCTCTCAGACAGCCTAGATGGACAGACAGTACTGCCATGAGGGTTTTGCATTGTTAAAGTCATAGATCATTCCGAGCATCTACTGAAAGCTCTGCCCCAGGCTGGGGGTGAGGGGGGGACCCTCCTAAGGTCATCTCAAGGTCAGAAGGAGAGCCCTCAAGTTCACCTGGGCAGACTTCTTATACACAGGCCCCTGGAAGTGATTGACCGTCACCTCTCAGGAGAAGGGCACCCGCCTGGATGTGTGTTTCAGCACAGGGCTGGCTGCCGAGGGGAGAGGAGGGGGGCCGTCCAAGGTGGGCATGCAACTCACCTTAAAGAAGCCCTTGCAGCCCTCGCAGGTGCGGACCCCATAATGCTGGCAGGCCGCGTTGTCCCCGCACACGGCGCACGTGCCCTCCCCGGACGACGAGCTCCTGTTGGGCGGCGATGGCAAACTGGGGCTCTCTCCCAGCAGGCTGGACGCCGTGGGGGACGTCGTGAGGCCCAGCGGGGAGAAGGCCAGCGTGGCCGGCCTCTTGGCCAGCGGCAGCCCGTACGGGTGGCCCTCGAGCGCA